ATACTTCTTTCAATGTCGTTCTAGTCTCTCACTTGCTCTAATGGTTGTTCCCTGCTTATTTCTCTTCGCGCGACGCGGTCGTGACTCCGCCCTCCTTCCGCCGACACGCGCATATGGCGAAGTGCGTACGCACCATTTTTACCTCTAAGAATGGCCTCTAATCCATCATACGAGTTGCATGCATGGATGAAAGAGATATTTCACTTTGTTTTCTTCTAATGTGCGGATGTGTTGTGTGACGTGCTTATGAATGATACAATGAAGCGAACAGCATAATAAGTGATCGAATCGAATCGCGCATCGTTTTCTTGTAGGTGACGAACATTTTTTTCAAGTTCAACTTCTTAAAGAGCAGTGTCGTCGAGAAATATGTCAACAGATAATGAAGAGAACAGCTCATCGTCACCGAACAGTTCGTCGAGTGATGAAGGCGATGCTCCTGCCCAAGGCCACGCGCAGCAGCTACATCAAACACCGAATGGAAGTCCAACAAGTTCAAACCAAAGTCGAAGTCCAAGCGAAAGCTCAAGTGACAATGGTGAATCTGCACAAGGATTGGGAGGTTATTATGTTTTGGCTATTTATGTGTTTTCTGGTTGGGTAATATTTTAGCAGTCAGTGTGGAATATGCCGTTAATGTTGTGTTATTGCAAGTAAATACTATTACTGGTTTTATAATAGTAATTAATAATATGATTAATTATTAAGGTCAGTCGACCCCGAGATTGTCTCCGGAAGCTGAAGATTCAGATGCTTTACGTGATCCGATAAGAGTCAGCTCATCTATGGATCAGGAGGTAGCTCGTGGTGCAGACTCACCGTGTGTTTCTCCTGCTCATGGACACGAAGTGGACGATTCGTCGATTCATAGTGATGAGCATGAAGCTAGAACTGAAAATGACACTGGAGCAGGTTCACCAGCTGGAGAAGATGAACATTTAGAAGGAGGGAATGCTTCGTCATCTGATGATGATGAGCAATATGGTAAGGGAGAGAGCAGTGAACAAAAGGTGAAAGGCAGTTCAGATTCAGGTGAATCAATAATTGAAGAATTCGTTCATTTGATGGGTTGGTTCATTCTGATGAATCGTGTCTAATTGAGTGTGCACTCGTTATGAAATGCAAACACGGCCACTGAACAATGCATATGCAATGTTTTACTGAGAAACTTATCGACAACCGAATTTCCAGATGAAGATTTCGATGCGAAAGTAGCAACGACAGCCACCTCGGTGTCGAAATCTGAAGAACCGTCCGAGAAAAGCGATAATGATGAATTGAGTGATAGCAATGAGCATCCAACCAAACAAAGAAGCGGTTTGTTATACTTTATCGTTATTTTTGACTCTTATAAAATAGATTATTATTAAGGTCAGTTGACTCCGAGATTGTCTCTGTCAGCTGACCCGAGATTGTTGTTGCTATCATCAATTAATCATTAGTATTATCATATCATTAGCGTGCTATTGCAATGCTACTGTTATTATCATTGTTATTAGTTAAATTTATTTATTATTATCATTACTTATTATTATTAATTGTTATTACTATTACTATTGTTATTATTATTATTTTTATTGTCGTATCGTAATCACGTTAGTATTGTTTATCAAAGTGTCAAAAATGACAAAGAAATGTCAGATGGAGCATAAAGCTTACAGCTCATTTCTTTCTGGGTGGTTCAGAAGAGCCCGATAGTAGCCGATCACCGCCCTCAGAACGTCAGCCCGAACGTGAAGTGGTCTCAAAGAAAAGATTGGTGTTGTCGTCATCTGATGACGAGAATGAAGGTGCGTATGGTTCACCAGCAGCTCATCGTGATAAGAAAGAGGCAACTGGGGGATTGGACGATATTGATTTAAGTGATAGCAGTGATGGGAGTAGCAGTCGTGAGGATAAAAGCGGTCGCGGTCGAGGTAGCGACAAGGACGATGATGACAGTGATCAGAGTGCGAATCACAATAGAAAGGTTTGTTGTTCTCGTAATTATTGTATTCATCATTGAGATGAAATGTGAACTAGTCTTAGTTCAACGTCGTGAATTTTCAAAATTGTGGAATGTTAGTGATATTGGAGTAGTGAAAGTTCAGGATTTCACTGAAGATGATATTGTTGGACCACGGCTCTATCCAGATCCAGAAACAGCAGAAGAGGAGGACGAACGCCCTGAGCCGACGATCGTCGAAGTGAATACGGCGCGAATATGTCCGAATATCAAGGAGCAGGGATTATACTTCGTCAAATTTCCAAATTTTTTGTCGATTGAACCACGTCCATTCGATCACGAGCATTATGAAGATGAATTCGATGAAGATGACTTGTTGGATGAAGAAGGTAGAGCCAGGCTGAAACTACGGGTGAGTTTGAAATTCGACGAAAATTTATAGGGTATTTCAATCTTCTAGCTTTCTTTCTGACGTGGAGATGTGCACATTGGAGATCCCTCTAAATGGAAGTGAAATACGAATGGACGTTTCAGGTTGAAAATACAATTCGGTGGCGGTATGCGTTCGATGATGCCGGCAATATTGTGAAGTTGAGCAATTCCAAAGTAGTGCGATGGTCGGATGGAACGTCAGTTGCATTCATCTTCGTGTGTGTGAATGGTAGTAAGGTGGATTTGTTTCAGAATGTCGCTGTATTTGGGAAATGAGGTGTTTGACGTTCAAACGCAGCCGATGCAACATGACAATCATCTGTTCATGCGACAGGGTGCTGGCTTGCAGGGACACGCTGTCTTTAAGTTCGTTTGTATAGTAACCTTTCGATTCTTTCTAAACAATGAGTAATTCTTTTGTGAAAATATTAACGAAATGAGAAATATGTTAGTATCATTACAACTATATCATAATGAGAACCTTGTAAATGAACTGCAACTCAAAATGCGAACTTCCCTAATTTAAACTGTACTGTGCGACTGTGCAATAATTGATTATACAGTGTTCATTTAATGATGGTAATGGTGATAGTAGCGATACTAATGGTAATCAAGATGTTTGTAATAATATATAGACAATTTTTAGAGAGAAATTAACATTCCGTCCGATATCAACGGATTCAATAACACATCGCAAGGTAACGCTTTCGATGGCTGATCGTTCGAATAAATCGCAACGGGTTAAAGTTCTGAATGCAGTAGGCATGGACCCTGAATCGCAGAAAGCGGTGAGTTGCTTTTTGATTGATTATTGTTGTTTTCATTTATTGTGATTACTTAGATAGAAGCCAAGGCTCAGACTGGACAACATCAATAACATTGATACACCACTCGATCTCGGTTTCGAGCCAAACTTGCCTCTCGTTCGCAGAGGAAAGTTTTGATCGAAACTGAGTGGTGTACCAGTGTCATATTGAGACTATGATTTGAAGGAATTGGTACGTCGTGAAGAGGAACGCTTGCGAGCACAAAACAGACGTGAGGCGCAGATGCGACGTAATCGGGCGAGACCCTCGACGAGGATGGGCTTGTCGTCGGATTTCTTGGAAGGACGAGAGAGGGAGGATGATTCTGGTAGTTTTATTGTTATTTATTATTGTTACTTGCAACAGTGATGATAATAAATTCTCATTGATTTTGAGATGCCGACGAATCAATCTCGGCTATTAAGAGCCGTTATAAAAATCGATATGACGATGGTCCTTTGATCGGACATTCAGACTCGGAGGATTCTGACGCGAAACGCGTGCATGATGACAAGAGTAGCAGCGACAGTGACACTGTTCGGGTTTGTTTTGCACTGATTTTATTACAATTCTTATTTTTTACGGTTATTCGGAAGATGACTGAGTGAGAGCCATTGATAGTAGTAATCTGAATAGTTTTTTTTTTCAGGAACAGAAGAAACAAAAAAAGAAGAAGAAAATTATTGAGGATGACGATGAAGATGAGAACTGATAAATATTTAGCAGAACAAAATTATTATTTTCCGAGTCGTTGATTTCGTCAACGAAATTATTATTGCTACTTCATTTGGAAGTATTGTTTATATATAAAGTTGTGTATTTTTCGTTGAATTTTTGTTGGTATCGGAGCAAATTGTTTGTTTATGTTTAATTGTTATGATTACCAATTGTATTTACCTTATATTTATTACAGTGTATTGCTAATAATGTTATTGTTAATGTTGTTGATTACGATCAGTTCTGGGATAAAAGTGTTCGTCATTTGTGGTGTTCGGTGTGTAAAATTAACATTCTCTTTCATTAGTTCAATGGGTTCCAGTGAGACCATGTTTACTGAGGATTCAGTTCTCTCGAGGAAGTATTATTTTCAAAGAAATTCAATTAGTGATTTCTGGAAAAATGTCATGAAACGTCGTGTGAATAGTTCATGAAGTGAGGAATATCGTCGAAAACAAATGAAAAGAACTTTTTCGAGTTGTCGGTTGATTGGAAACAGATCAAGGAATAGTGAACAATTTCGAGGTTCCGGAATAAAAGTATTCGTACACATTACATACATTATATACCAACGAGAGTGAAGTGATGTTTAAATTGAAGTTGATTATTCTAACGCATTGATCAAGCTATTATTATCGGTCATTAGGTTCGTTCTGATTGTTTTGTTGGAATGATAAGGTTATATAATGTGTCGATTAATAGGAAGTTTGGATTAATATTGAATCGGAATGCAGTCCTCAACGTTGTTGTCTTCTTTTGCGCCGAATCTCAGCGGACAGGTCGGTCGTGGTTTGGCTTTATGAATTTTGATTACTTCAGCGAGATTTTCGTGATTTCCTCTTGATTCTTCCATCAAATCTTCTTAAAGCGAAATCAACTCTTCAAGCCAATCTTACCAGTTATTTTCTGATTTCAGCTCCTCTCAAGGATAATATCGTTTGCGATCAATATGTATTTATTGCGAAAGATTGATGGTGATTTATTGGGTGTAGTTAACGTTAGGTGAATAAATTGTTTTGGTTCATCTTGACTACTGATATTGTTTCATTCATTGATCTCTTCGTTTATCCATATTACTATCGAATCGCCTCTCAGTCAACATCTTCATTATTTATTCAAATAATATGACGCGTGTTCTGGTGTGAGATACTGACTGAAGCATGATTGTAAATTACAGTTTGACGTTATTCTATACGACGACGATATTTATTGTGCGCGAACCATTTCGGAAAGCGTTCCTTTCAACGGATATCCCATTATCAGTAGCTGTTAATTATATCTGGCTCTCGTAGGTTTTACTTCGTCGTTTATGAGAGCAACCGTAAAGTCGGCCGAATTTCTGGACTAATCTGAATATGATAACACTTCAATGAAGAGTAATCTCGTACTGAGAGGTTATTGTGGCGACTTCATGAACACTTTACAAATGCTGTTGACAAACCTAATGAAATAATGATGCTCAGAGTAACAACTTCATTCAGTTTCAGACCATTACTATGCCCTTTAGTTGCCCTTTCACTCTACTTGATTGTGTGGATGCCATTTTCGACAATACCACCGGTGGAATTAGTACCATCATATGGCTGGGCACTATTTTGTTTTGGTCTGTCAGCATGGTTCGAGTCTGTGGCTGAGCCGTTTGTTATCGTATCGTTAAGATTTGCAATGGATTCTGAGTATGCGGTCGTGCAAGGTTTACTGGTGGTGATGCAGCGAGTTGTTGTCATTTTGCTGATATTCTTCACGAATGACTCGCATATTAAAGTATTTTGTTGGGCACAGGTGAAAATTTTTTGAACATTTCTGTGAATTATTGGTCGTAATTTTCAACAATCATCCTTATCGAGAAATCCTTACGGAAGAGTTCACTGTGTGGATTTCTTGTTCAAAATGCTCACATTTTCAGCATGATTTTCAGGTGTTTTNTTTCCTCGCTTTTCTACCTTTTCGCTTGTGTGTTTTTCATCTTCCGCCGATTACGTCAACGATCTTCCGTACATCATGTTACCATTTCGTCGTTTCGTACTGTCCTACCGAACTTCAAGAATGGCTTTTCAAAAAAAGTTTGCTCATTCATGTCGTGCTTTTTAGCGATATCACGATTTCCAGACTAAGAAAATTTCTATTAAATTGTTTGAAAAATTTTTAAGATATGAATGAAAATTTTTGGCAATTGTTTGGAATTCTTTGTAGTATATCAAGAAATGACGAAACATTGAAACAGTTACTTGCTAATCGCATTTGAACTATTTTTAGCATCTCTCAATACTGACCACGTTCACTATCCATTCTTTATTCAAGCAGATTTTAACCGATGGGACTGGTTATGTGCTGACATTTACGGATCGTTTCACGTTATCAAACAAAGGTTTTTTCCTTCGTGATTGATTCGTCAGCCAATTTATATCCCTTCGCAAACTTTCTAAAATGTCTTACTTCCAAAATAAACATACCAGTTTTGCGTTGTTATAGTGCATTTTGAGATTGTCTTAGTTTCATTTCTCCTCACTTTCTTGTAAAAATTGAATTCATATGACTGGGATTTAACTGTGCGATTGCTTTGAAATGCCTGAGTATTGTTGCGAGTGAATTTCAGCCGTCTTCGATGCTGTTGATAAGTTGGGCAGTCTGGTGGCTCGCATCGTTCTAGCACCCTTAGAGCATTCCGCATACCTGTTCTTTTCGGCGAATTTAAGGCGTGACATCGCTGTGGATCAACAAGAACCGGTAAGAATGAGAATTCTTCTCGTTGATGAAAGTTTTTCCGTGATATCATGAATTCGACAATAGAATTCAGCTATCATAAACATACCAGTTTTGTGTCTTGTGTCTTACAATTTTAGTTGTCATAAAGGTGGGAATTTAATTGAATTTTTGATTCGACTTTGTTTTTGTACTCAAGGTTTTTGAGAGAAATTGTATCGAGTTTTGGAAAAGATGAAGAAAACTTATTGGAAGATCTACTGTAGCAGAAGTGGACGAATGATTTTTGCGTTATTTGCACTGTTTGCGATGAATTTTGCACTGTAAACGATTGAAGAGTGAAGTGAAAAAAGCAATTGATACACTCAGTGGGCTGATGCACTTGACGACGGTTGTTGGTGTTATCGTTTGTGTGTTTGCCATTCCATACTCACCGTTGGCAGTGACTATCTATGGAGGTTCCTTGCTGGCCAACAATTCAGGTCAGTTGCTCAAATTTTTCGGATGGACCGATTCATTTGGCATTTCGTTTCTGTTATCGATAGAATAAGTTCATGAAAGTATTCATTATGCAAAAAATCTAAGGAACTGTAAGATTTATGAGTTGGGGAAATGTTCATTGAAAACAAAAAATAGTGGGAGGCTAAAAATACAGATTTTATGACTTTAGTGAGTTGATTTGAGTTATTTCTTTCAAAAGGTCGATAAAATGACGGTGAGATCATATGAGAGTTTAGGAATTCAACGATGCTGTTGGAAATTTTTAAAAACTTTTGAATCAATTCGTTTCGGTATTATTCGCACTTTATTGGTTTTGAGTGGAAGTGTTCGATGAATGATTGGTACCTTTGCAAATTTTGGCTTATATGAAAGTGTTTTATTCATAAGCGGATTATACTTACAAACACATTTTGAGGAGCTTCAATTTTGCGTTTGTATTGTGTGTATATTGTGGTGATTGCAATCAACGGTATAACAGAATGTTTTGCGATGGCAACAATGAATAGCAGTCAGGTTAGATAATTGCTCTTATAGCGCGCACTCTCATTTCGACACTTATTTCGGGATGAAGCAAACTTTTTTCGGATTTTTTCGAATTGTTTCTTCGAAAGAATTAATTCACTCTGAAGCAGAAAAACAGATCGTTATTATCATTGTACAGTTGGTGTCTTGGTTATATGTCATCAGATGGAATCATCCTCTCCACTCTCCTATTCGTTCTCTAAGCAAATAAAAAATTTCAGTTATTTGCACATGGGCGATTTTTGCTGATAATATCACCAGTGCATATATTATTATCGCTGTTGTTCTCTTTATATATTGGATCGTATGGATTGATAATAGCGAATGTTGTGAATATGTTAACACGTATTTGCTATAGGTCGACTTTTATCCATTTAACTTAGGGATTTTCATAATCATAATGTTCGTAAAGATAGTGCTAGTAGTGATATAATACCTGAAATACTGAAGGTAGCATTGGCAATAATAATAGAATTTCAGCTGGTTTCATATCCGAAAACTATTTCCATCGTACAAACTTAAGCTCTGGTCAGCATTCCCGACCCCGTCAACAGTCGTTCTTCTGCTTTTCTCCCTCACTCTATCGTCGTTGTCATTAGTTGTTAGTATTTTTCTTATTATCCAAAAACTCATCAACGCTAGTAAAAGAGTTGAACGTTTCTTTTGCAAACAGTGCTTGCGTTCAATAAACAGCTTATTATTAAGACGTTTTTACCGTTCACATGTTCAGATATTCGGAGGTACGTCAGGTATAATGCATAGTGCCGCACATCTGGCCACAGGTGGTGCATTGTTTCTGTTCGTTTGTAATCATATTTATCAAACTGATATCGAACTAATGAAATTCATCAATCAACAAATCAATTCGGTTCATCGAAACATCGAATGACTTCAAGTTTCGTATTGTTGAAAGAGTATTTGCATCTTTAGGTGAATCAATGTGCCAATCAGGTACTAGTAGAAAGAGTAGGTTTGTTTCAATTCATTTGCATAGCATTCCAAAGTGGTTTAAGTGAAACGCTGAAAGCAAGCCTGATGTAAAACTATTATGAGTATTCCTGATGTTATTATAGTTATTTTGTCGTTTTGATGGTCTATTTGAATGACTTTCACTCGTAGTCTACTGTTCAGAATTTCATCGAACAATATCATCAAGGAAGATCTCCTTTATTGGTTATTTCGAGATTATCTCTCATCAACTATATGATGTTCTGTTATCTTCTTCCTTTCTGGTGATCTAGTCGCTTTTTCTTCTGCAATATAACGTTTTTGATAATATCGTAATATGTGAATGCATGTATATACGGTTCATGAAAATGTATTATATATTCCCATCACGTTGTTTAAATTTTTTGTTGTGACTGAGTAATGAAATATTGTTCTGCGAACTTACGTTCATAATAAACCTCAGTGATTGAAGGAAGACATTGAAGGACATTAACGCCGCTATCGCTGATCCGTTGATAAAGAATGTTTGATCCGCTGGAAAAAATGCACTATGGCAGTTAAGGCCAAAAAAGTAGCGAAACGCTATTGTTCATTAAGCAAATGCCACTTTGGAATCTGGGCTCAAAATTTGCAGGTGCACCAAATGTTTGTACGGGGAAAAACCTCATTACGCTATTAAGCTTAGAAATTTTCATTTCATCATTCGACAACAGATAATCTTCCCAACAATATGTACCAGTCAATAAAAAAATTTTTTTTCAGACAAGCATCTATACCTAAATTATCCTTAAAAGTGCAAGTATATGGCATACAAAATTGCCGGCCCTATCGAATCCGAGATATTCATACGAAGAGTTTTCAATCAGTCCAAGCTGATGATTCGTTTTGATCGTTAAAACACAGCAGTGGCGTTCTTCAAGGTTCTGTTCTGAGCCCCCTTCACTTTCTTATTCATTTAGAATTCTTCCAGAATCGGTATGTTGCATTTTCGCAGACGACGTTATGGTCTTCATGTTCTCCGACAACTTTATATAATTTCATAAACCAGTAGTCATCAGATTGACTTCCGCCGCTAGCTCAACGATGCGATCTATTTCACCAAACGCAGTCGGATTCGTATACCTCTTAAAATCACACAAATTATCCAACAAGATTAAGTAAAGATATTGAAAGAAAATATTACCTGGTGCACCTAATTCTACTCACGGTCAGATATCACACGACACGAACTGTTTGATATCGCTCTCATTGTCAGTGTACGATTAT